TCAGTTGTTACTCTTTGTTTTTGCCAGCTCCTGGTCATGTTTCATGTTTAGCCTTGTGAAAATCTACCTCAGCCCATTTGTTGGGGCCTTCTCTTATGCCTTGATGCTACTTTTATGGAAAGTTTCCCTATTCTGTCAAATAAAGCACAACTATTAAGGTGAAAACTACAAAGAGGGAATTCCTCCGTTTATAGAGGTATCATTTTAGAGGGAAATGATTACAAGTTTTCCAAAAATAGCTCCCAGAAACATGCTAGGATGAAGTGCAGTTTAGCTATCGTTAAATTGTGATTTGAATTTTAGTGTAATGTCAAACAACTAGCAATGCCTTAGCACTGTGGAAAATATAACCTGATAGCTTCTTAATATCCTGGGTATTACCATTCGCCTAAGAGTTTTGAAACAACTAATCCATTCTGAATCTCTTTTCTCTTTGGTAAATATTAGCTGTGCTGACATTTGTTCTTACAGAGAGGGAAGAAAACAGCAGCTCCATAAGCCTCGTATCCCAGGAGCTGCAGCCCTTTATGTGCAGGACTCCTCCTGCTGCGGGGGTGCAGCCACCGCCACATCAGCCCGGGGTTGCGAACGTGCAGATTTGCTTTGCGTTCCGCATAGAGAAAAATGGTCTTTTTTTCCTTCTCTTTCAACAGATCCCATGGAGGAAGACATTCTGCAGGTTGTGAAGTATTGTACTGATCTAATAGAAGAAAAGGATTTGGAAAAGCTAGACCTGGTTGTTAAGTACATGAAAAGGTAGCTGAATTACTGGCGTTTGTGACATTTAGACTGTTTTTGTTAGAGCCTGTTTCTGTTCTGTGCTCAGTGTGAGGCTAGAAACCTGCTAAACATTGCACAGATGGGTGTAAATTATTCAAGGCCAAATCTTATTCAAAAACGTAATTAAAAAAAGAAGCTGGCCAGGCAATATAGGTAATTGGTAAAAAAAAAAATAGTGGTAGTAATTAAGTAATTGTGTTGTTTGCTACAAAGCCTTGTGTTTCCAGACAAAGGTACATAGTTCTTCTGTTATGGTTGTCCCTTCATCCTTTTTTCATTCATTTGGTTCATGACACCTTTTATCTTTCCTTTGTTTCATTTGGTTTCAGCTCTGTTGCTGTCTCCAGGTCCTAATCCCTGTCTCACCTCTCCAACCTATCCTTAAAAGCTATTTTTATTGCTTATTTATTGTGCTCCTGTTACTCTTCCCATGAGTCAGGAGGCGCAAGTTCTACTGACTTGCTTACTGATACATAACTGTGTAGCTCCCCGTTTTGTGTCTCCTAAATGTGAAGAATGTGCGTTTCATGGAAACTAATCAACACTCAGAAGACTGTAGCAGTGCAAAATCTTTGTTACGTGTTTGTCTCATGGGATGACGTTAGGCCTCAGGGAATGAGGAGCACACAGTGCAGTTAAAGTCTTGTTGGCTGGCGCATGGCGGATGCCTGCTGCTCTGCCCAGGAAAAGCCCTGTCTAATTCTGACCTCTGTCCAAGCGACTGCAGCGAGGACAGCGGGGCCCTGCCGATCCTTGTCGCGAGAGCAGGATGCAGGGCAGGAGTCAGGCCTTGTGCTGTTAGCTGTGTGAAAGTGGCATTGGGTTAGCCAAAAACCTGTGTCGGTGCCCTCCGTTCTCCTGGGGGAGCTTCCTTGGGCTTCACTGGCCACTGGGAGCAGCAGAAGGATAGAGGGTAACTCCGAGCTGGCGTGAATGGTAGAGGGTAACTCAGAGCTCTCCCATGTCAGTGGGACACAGGGTCTAGTTCACTGCAGCAGGACACGACACAGGGCCTCCGAACCTGCTGTTCACACGTGTTACCCAGCTCTGAGAGCTGGGGGAGCAGATGCAGTGTGGGCGTCCCTGGGCGAGGGAGGGATCCGAGGCATCATTACCACAAACAAACCAAGTCACAGTTATAGTGAGATGCTGCGATCTCCTTTTCCGATACAGGAGTTGGAACTTACTGTCAAAGCTGTTTCTGTAATAGTAACTTTTGTTTTCCCTCTTCTTCCTCTATCCCTGCAGGTTAATGCAATCGTCAGTAGAATCAGTTTGGAATATGGCATTCGACTTCATTCTTGACAATGTTCAGGTAGTTTTACAACAAACTTACGGAAGCACATTGAAAGTTATCTGAACTTGTAGTGAGGAGCTTGGTGAGAGCCTGGAGCTCTCTGCTAGCTGTGCCATAAGTGCTTGTGAGGTATTTGCAAAGTGCATGATAGTAAAGCCCTGAGTTTTTATAATTTCAGATTTCTTTTTCAACAACAAAGTGTTTTGTACATTTCTTTTCAGAAAGTGCCAAATTTGTCAGTATTGCATGTAAATAATTGTGTTAAAATTCTTTTATTGTAGTATAGAATCTATTTACAAAATGTTTGTTTATAAAGTTTTATGGATTTTTACAGTGAAGTGTTTACAGTTGTTTAATAAAGAACTGTATGTATATTTTTGTACTCATTCTATTTTGTCATGCTTCAGTTTGAATATAGCTGACCCCGTTCATTAAAGCTCTAGCTTGGACTCCTTTACTCGGTTCCGCACGATGCCGCTGTCTCGACGGTTGCAGGAGCTGCTGCTCTGTGTTCTTCTGCCTGCGCTCGCTTCTCTCTCCCTGCCTTGAGCCAAGGGTGCCTTGCCTCACGCTGTCTTGTTCTTACTCCTGCAACAGCAGCCGTGCCCGGTGGAATTGCTCCCGGTGATCCCAGCCCTGTGCCAGCCGGGCCTAGGGCTCTCAAGGGAGCTGTGGAGAGAGAGAGGCCCACAGAGCCCAGAGCTCCTAGAAGAAAACAAACCTTCAAAACATTTTTACAGATCATGGTATTTGCGTTAATTTGCCTGAGTTTCCATCCATTACAGCTTTGGTCTTCCATGGCACTTTTTCTTTGACTACTACTTTTGGGAGTGCTTGGGTTGTGTGTAGGGCTGGACACTAGCCCGCCCGCAGCTCCCGTGGAGGAGAGGTCCTTGCTGAAATTGTTGCGTGTGGGAGCTGCTGGTTTCAGAGGCAGAGCGGTGGTTGGGCGATTGCTCCTCCAGCCTTGATCGAAACGGGCATCGCTCTTGAGGCGGAGGAGTGGAGAAGAGCTCCCAAAGGACAGGGCGAAGCTGCAGGCTACTCAGCCTGGAGCAGCAGGTGCTTGGGAAGGGGCCAGCAGGGATTTATGAGGGGCCTTGCACATGGCATAGAGGGGAGAGCAGGGCAGGTGGCTGCCTGGTAGCCGGGCTCACGCACCGCAGCTCCATAGGCGCCAGGGCTGTCCATGGACACAGTGGTGCCCCAGGGTTGCTCAGTGCTTCCCGCGTGGCCAACAGGAGCGACCCCCTCCCATAGTGGCCCCTGGTACCACCTGCAGGAGCAGGGGCTGCCGGCCCTTCTGGCAGCACCGCCCCGCTGAAGCCTGGGGCAGAGGGACCCTCGGGATGTCCAGCAAGGGGACAAACCCAGGAAAGGGCAGGTGGAGGCTATGCAGCAGGACTGCTGCTTCACCACCCGCTGCTTCCAGCGCTCTGCTCTTTTATCCCCTTCTTTCTTGGAACCTTCCTGCAAGGCGGCTGGGAAAGCTGCTGCACAGCAGCTGCAAAGAGGCTTCCAGGCCTGTTTACCTCAGCCAGAGCACCCTTCCCTCCTTAGCAAAACAATACAGTACAACCACATGAGTTGATATCTCTGTTCTTAACTTAAGAACTCCTTTTATTAGTGTAGCTTTCACAATTGCATAGTTTGCAAAAATAAATTGTAACAATTTAGTGCAGTCTCCTCACTTTGACACTCAAGATCATTATAGTCTAAAGTCACTGACAGGCCCAGTGATGTGAATTTGTACCACACACAAACCATAGTGAAAAGGTCCTTTTCAAGTGTATGTTTTAAGTCTAACACCATTCTTGGTAAATTTAAACTCCATTGCCAAAAGAGGCTACAGTCACAAAGCAATTGTGAGAGAAGCTGTACAATCCAGATCAATGCAAGGGGTTTTTTTTTTTTGAACAAAAATATCTGCACAATACAAAGTCTGATCAGTTCCAAATGCTTATTAGAAGTTATTTTTTATAAGTATTTTAAATGTGAAAAGTTTCAACTACATGAAAAATCATTACGTTTTAGTTCAGACTGTGCTTTTCAAAAGCAGTTGTTTGGCTCTTCAAGACACAAGTTTCAAATTACCCCTACTTAAAGACAGATCCAGCTGGGTCCCCAAGGGAAGGAAAGGTAGGAAAACACTGGAATTTGACTGAGTTTTGGTTGTCACAGCCACCATTAGCCCAACGCCTTTCGCACTGGTGCAGCCCCAGGTGGGCAGCAACCCCTGAGGTGACACTGCAGCTTCTGAAACAAACTATGAAACAACTGGGCTACTCCGACCATCTCCTTTATTTTCTCTGCATTATAATGATTACAGGTCGACTTCCATGAACTGTACAAGCAATAAAAGGCGGCCAACTATGCTTTACATCATTGTTTCACACGAAGCAAATACAGAAATATCCAATTGCCTAATTCTCTATTTAAAAAAATTTCTAGAGGCACAAAGCAGAAGAATGTTGGAAAAGAGAGTTCAAGGGAAGAGGTATGCATAAATAAAGAAGTACTTCTTACATCAAAAATGTCCCAAGAATCACAAAGTCTGCAGAAGCTTGGTTAATCAAATACTGCAGTACTGATTTAATCAGTATAAAAGTGAAAGAGCTTCAGTTCTGTAATAAAAATTCAATTTATTTTCTTTTGGAGGGAGGAAGAGGTGGAAGGAAGGAGTCAGAGAAGGAAGGGCAAACTTTAAAACAGCAGCCAGTAGTAGGAAGGGCAGTGGGAGAGGTGAACAGGCACATTGGAACTGTGGGAACATGTAAATTGACCACTGTCAAACCAGTGTAAATTTCTTGGTTTCTCATGGAAAACATTTTATCCACATATTTTCCTCTTAAACATAAATCCAACACTGTCTTTAATATAGGACTTTGTTGGTGACTTTTAGAACAGGAATAGGGAGTTTATTCCTGCCTTCCCATTGTTGTAAAAAGTTATCTAGATGATCTCAAACACTTTCTTCAGCTCCACAATAAGCTGCCAGTCGGACTTCTGCATCTCGTCCCGGAACCAGTCCTTCAGCGCGTCGATGGACTGGCGACTGATCTGCAAGACACGGGGCAGAGCCGTGAGGGCACCCGCAGGCACCAAGCGGGGCAGTTTTCGGTGAGCTAAGGTAGCCAGTTCCAGTAGAGAGGGGAAAGGCCAGTCCCCGGGGCACTTGTGCCACTCGTCTGCACCACGCATCTCGCAGCCCTTTCCTTCCCGCTCCTTTGCCCTCACCCCGCTGGCCAGGGGTGACTGCAGCAGCGCAGGCCCTCCCTGATGCCCCCTTGGCAGGGATGCGGGAGCTCGAGTTAGGAAGGGCCCCCTCCTGCTCCCCCCACGCCCAGCACCTCAACAGCCCCTCACAGGCCCCAGTAAAGTGGCTCCATCCCCCTCCAGCGGGGCGACACAGGCTGAAACACCAGGGAGAACCACCACAATGCCCTGAGTGCTGGCTACGTCAGCAGGCAGGCAAGAAGCCAATTGGCCATTTACCCAATCACCAGCATCTGTCATTATCTGTGTTTTCAGGCTTCACACAATGACCCCATCCCACACAAGCCCCTCGCAGAATGGGCATGGCCCTTACCTTACTGACGAGGATATCCGTTGCTTCAAAGTGTCGGCCGTACATCTTAGGCGACTCACCAGGAATGGGCTCTATTTTCACACACACTTCTTGGCCTTTCTTGGCAACATCCACTGGCTTGTGGTTGATTTCAATACTTGTAACTATTCCGATTTCAACGAACTGTAACACAAGGAAGAAGCTGCAATGCACATAAGCCAAACCCACGCGCGCTCCCTTCCCTTCGCTCCCCCCGTTCACACGGGCCAACCCGTTTGTAGGGCAGGGCAGGAAGCAGCAGCACAAACCCCGCCGCGAGCCCCGCGTGCCGGTGGCTCCGGCAGCCCAGCGCACCCACGGGAAGAGCCGCAGGCAGCGCTCGCACTCACGTTTTTGCTGGGCACGCACATGGGGGTGCCCTGCTTCACCTGGCCCGCCTCCACGACGACACCCATCACTATCGGATCTCGCGAGTTGAAAATGAACTGCGGGAGGATTTTCATCTTGCAGGGGAACACTGCTATGTGCCTGGGGGGAGACACAGAGGAGGCATGTGGAGACAGCCAGGGCAGCAGCATCGCTGGTTCTACCTTCCCTCACGCTCCTCTGGGGCATTTATCCCAGCAGTGTCACTTGGGAAAAATGGGGCAAGAAAACCCTCTCAACCTTGTTAACTCTCATTGATACTTGATCTTTATGAGCTACAGGGAATAATAATTGAGCAGGGTTGGCACGAATTTTATGTTGATGAAGGGCTTGGGCAGCCAACTAAGACCAAAATCAAAGGAGCAGTAATTAAAGCACAACTAGACTCTGAGACCAGCATGGGAATAGAAGCACTGTTGCCAGAGCCCATGTCAGTGCCTCCACTCAACATTGCGTAGCTAGGATTAAAAAAACAAAACTAACTCAATTTGGGATGAGGAAAAAACTTTTCTCAGGACCAACTGGTAACACAGCTTCCGTCAACTCAGTCTTGGATCCCTGCAAGTCCTTAATGACAGCAGATTGATATTTCTGCAGTCAGAATTAAGTCCTGTGCACTGGCAGCACACAAATAGGGAACAGAACCCAAACACTTTCAGTGTTATTTTCCTAACATCACAAGACTAACCCATCTGTCAAAAGAGGGATAAGAAACTAAGCACACAGCAAATCTTAATAAGAAGGCTCCACATTATGTGATAGTTCAAAACACTATAGGGTTTTTCCACAACTCTCATCCTAATAAACTTAACCCCAGCTGGCAATAAGTAGAACTACACAATTCCTGGCAGTTACAAATTTCTTGTCCTATGCTCTTCCTCCTTTCCTTCCTTCCCATCAGAACTGCATGCTAAATAAAAACACGGAAACAAAGTAAAATGCAATTTCATTTAGGAATAAAACAATTAAGAGGTAATTTGGAAAGCATCCAAATGAAGATGACTCATACTTACTTGAACTCCTCTTGTTTCTGCTTTTTGTAGTCTTGTCTGTATTTTGTGAAGGCATCAAATAAGTGATAAATTATTTCAGCACTAAAAATCCGAACTCCTAAGCTATCAGCCATTTCCTGGGCATCACGCTCAATCCTTACGTCAAAGGCCAGAATTACTGCATATCTGCATGTAAGAGAGCCAAGCAGTCCATCAGACAGACCATAAAGAGGCAGCCTAAGAAGGGAGTCTACTATGCATTTACCAACAAAGTTACTTACTGAGGGTCATGCTCCAGCATAACTGATGCTTTCATAACATCTTTTTTATGGACAGGACCTATGTTAATCCCTGCATACTGTTGAGAAAGAAAGCCACACAAATCAGGTGTTCATTATTCTAAGAGGAAACAGCTATAAACCAAAAGCAAGAACATCAGCACTAGATACAGCATAAGGTACTTACTGGCACTTCTGATGTTTTAAGAAATTCAAGTAGAGCTTCTAAAGAGCCTAAGGTAGAAGCCTGGACATAAACACCTTTCTCTTCTAATTTGATTGCATTCAGTGTTTGCTTCAGTTCATGTATTAGTTCATCCTGCAGAAGAGAAAGCAAACCTTAGTTCTACTGCTGTGATGCCCCAGTGAAGCACAGCACTGCTCTGTTCATGAGTGGAGGCTGCAGCAGAGCCATGCCACTTGTAACGCACTGCTGCTAATTTCGGACACCAGAAAAGCCTCTGCTGAGCCCGAACCAGCCGAGCACTTTGCAAGGGGGCCATCACCTAACACGAAGCAGATGCTCCTCCTGAAGTCAGTAATGTTTCTCTGCAGACCACAAGCTGTCCTGCAGCCCAGGCAGGCGTTGGCAGGGAGGAGGACTGACCGCGGTGCAGACACCCAAAGCCTCGGCTGCAGGTGGTCAGCGCCCATCGTGCTGCAACACGGGCATGAGAGCAACAGGGCCACCCTGCTGCTCACAGGGCAGTTAAAGACCCAGCTCAGCTCATGCCTCTTAAAAACCAAAGCACTCCTCCTTTTCTTCTGACAGCTGAACCAATGCTCACCTTTATTACACACACAAATGCCTGCTGCTACTGTACTGCATACACATGCACCCAGGCAAGCCTCTACTTGGTGGACTTGAAAGATTAATCTTCCTTCAGAGTAAAAGGCAATTAGACAACCCAGTGCTGCCTGCTTAAACTGAACTAACACCGACTCAAGAACGTTCACAAGGACTTCTCTCTTTTTAAATTAACATTTTGACTTGGGCAAACAGCAGCATCTTGCCTGAATTTTGGTTTAAGGCAGCTGCATTTTTTATGTCATTCTGATAGGGTAAGTCATAAAAGAAATGTCACAGGAAGAGCTGTGCAATTAGCTTTTCCAATTCTGATGGTTTGAAAAACTCCACTGACATATATTAACTTAAAATGTATCAGTTGCTGCTAATATCAAATCAGTAATCAACAAATAATAAAACTGCATTCTCCATATGCAGACAAGATGTCAAGAATGTGCTAAGAATCGAGATACCACAAGTGTCACCACACTAACATTTCGTATGGACACCGAGCTACAATCTGTTATTTTAACAGTTTTTAAAAGCTAAATAAGTTATTTGCATAGTGAACTCTCACCATTTGAATGAACTTTAATACTGAAATAAGACACTTGAACTGAGCATGATAATCATCCTCACAGAGCTGACGAGAGTTTTACGCACTAAAGAGCACCTCACCTTGAGGACTGGGACTTCATCCTCTTTATAAGCCACAAGCAATGGCAAACCAGCCAGTGTTTTCTCCAAGTCTTTCCCGAGAATCTTCACACCTTGGGCAGCAACCACCTCTTTGTGCTTTTCATACTGGTTCTGTAAAGAAGACAACACCAGCTAAGTGCTCACGCAGAACAGAGTGGTTAAATCTGCCCCTGGCCAGCATGGCACAGACCTCGATGGCACAGCCCAGCAGCTCCCATCTGCCCACCTTTAAATAGTGCTACTACACCTGCCCATTATATTTTCAGTTTTATCATCACAACATGAGGCTTTTGGTTCCGATTTTGCCTTAATGTCAATATGCCACCCAGTTTCCATACCTTAACTCGCAGCTCCTTCATGGGAGGAGGCAAGAGAAGACCTCTGATCTGAGTCACAATAGGGCCTTCTACCCCAGGAACTATAATGGTGTCTCCTTCTTTCAAGCGACCGTTAATCAAAATAACATCTATGGTCGTGCCCATACCAGGCAGTGCTTTAACCTACAAGAAGCCGGGAAAAAAAAAAAAAAAAAAAGTTACTCCTTTCATCACTTTAAAGGCACCTCCTTAGCCAGGGAGGTGGCAGGGGTGAGGCTTCTAAGCGAATTTCAGAGCGCGGCTGCCGAGTTACCTCCATGACTTGAGCTCTCAGCTCCTGACACTCAGCCAGCCTCTTGGTCAGCATGGTTTGCGTCAGTTCTACAAGCAGAGCTATGAGGCTTCCCATGCCATCCCCTGTGTGAGCAGAGGTAGGTACAAGAGAGACAAAAGTGCGGGGATCCTTATTCTCATAAAACAAGGCAGCGTTCAAGCCCTAGAATCAGGAGCGATAGTTCCAGGGGGAGGGAATAAAAAAATAAATAAATAAATCAGTATGTTGAGTCCCAGCCAATTACGATTGCATTTGAAATTCCAATTAAAAAAAAAAAAAAATCCTATGTTACCAACAATATACTACGGAACATGCAGTCTCTACCCACACCTGGGAGCGCTACAGGATATATCTACAAAGTTGTTATTACATTTGACTTCTGTTGGTGACATACAACAATGGCCAGAAGTTCCCTGAGCTGATGTGTTTCATGTCCTGCCAGTGTCTAAAGGAAAGAGACAGATGGGCTCCTCTCTGGCACTTCCCAAAGAGGAAAAGAACAGGGACAGAAAACTTGATCTGTTATTGTGACTCCATGACCACACACAGCATTTAGCTGGTACTTTTCCCCAAACTAGCATTCCAAAGAATACCGCAGTTTAAAAAAAGTTTGCCAAAGTTCCTGTGATCCTGCAGGGTGTTTGTAAAGCAGGTGTCCAAATTGCCTTCATGAATGCTTTTGTGAACAGACAAGCTTGAAGATTCCCACTTACCTGTTTTGCAAATTCCACTATGATAGCTTTTGCACGTTCCTCAAATTCATCTTTTGTATTCTTTTTCTGCTTCTTTAAAGTGACAGCTACATCTGTATCTGGACTTTTTTTCCAGTCATATAACCTATCAATCTTGAAAATACAATAATATGTCATCTTTTATACTTGCTGAAGGGCATCTTTAGGTTTACAACACTTATTTGCAAGAAACACTTAACCAGAAAGAGCTATTCTACCCTTTTGCTCTACCCAGGAGTTAAATCTCTATTTGCTTTAACTGCAGTATTTTCCTATCCACATACATACAACATTGGATAACAATGTTGGACAGTGTTTTTTGAGCAACATAACTTTAAGCTTTTAAAAATTCAAACTGTATTAATGTGAATTCATTTGGAAGCATTTTATGTACATTTATGTACATGTAAGATGAAGCAAGTTTAGAAGAAAGATTAATTCATAATTCCACAGAGGGGCTTTCTTTTTCTTTTTTTTTTTCCACCTGAAAAGTGACACCACTATTTTTAAAGATCTTCTGAAGCTTGCTGGTAAGAACTGGAACCTTTCTTATGCTGCAACCGAGAACACAAAGTGGTGTTTAACACACACAGGACTACATACTTTAGAGAGAAATCACTGAGTAAGTTTTCAAAGCAGGTCAGACTTAGTCCAAGAATCTACATTTGCTTAATTCAAATTCCTAGTTAGCAACCTTTCACAATATTCTCAAGCTTCACTATACTGCAATATACACATATCTAAATTAACACAAGTTAAACATCACAACATTCGCTGTGTAGCTCAAGATCATATATTTAAAAGACAGATGAAGACCTAGACATGTGACAGAACTAACATGAAAAGCAAAAACTTTTGGCAATTTAATCTTTGGGTCACTGTAAGCCTAAACAGCTTTCTATCCAATAGCTTTTTAAAAAGCAGATATTTTCAGTAACAAGATAATAATTTTATCTGTTCCAGCACCTTCAGCCTTAATACTTACTTCATTTTTGAAAGTCACTACCCACTACTTGTGAATAGCCTCTTACCAGTACATTAGGCAACACCCAGAGTCACTGGACACAAATAGTTTCCTTAATAGAATTCATGTAAGTCATGATAAAACAAACAGCTCTGCAACAACAGTATCTCATGCATAAGCACCAAGACTGAAGAATATATAGTTCTACTCTCTAATACTCCAAAGACTGAAATACTTCTGTGATCAAAAGCAACTGTATTACTGTGACATAAGCCTAAACGCCAGCCTAGCTTCCATTCATGAACCCACAAGTATCACTATCTAAAGTAGGTGTTTTAAATGAAGCTTGTCTTTCAATTTTATGAACCGAAAACATAGTTTCACACAAATCCATCTAAATAGCTCTGAGGAAAAAAAAAAAAAAAAAAGATATAGCTTATAGAAGTGTGAACCATAGACTCAAATCATAGGAATAAGACAAGACAAAGTTATCAGGGAGAACTGAAGAAAGATCTGCGAAACTCTCATAAGCCATAAAATTATTGGGCAGAGGTGTCAGAAAGGCATCAGAAAGAATCCAAGAACAGCAGCTTCAAAATAATTCGAGTTTGTGGAAAAAACAAAGCTGACAAATGCTAAACATGCTGTTAGAGAGGTCTGAAAAATTATCTTACCTTGTTGAGAGCTACTATAAAGGGGCATTTCTTGGATTTCAGCAGGTTTATCGATTCAATTGTCTGTGGCTCCAAACCATGCATGATGTCAACTACAAGAATGGCAATATCGCAAAGCGAGCTTCCTCGATTTCTTAGATTGCTGTGGCATTAGGAAAATTGTTATTTAGCAATAGAACATTAAGAAAAAAAAAAAAAACTGTTAAACTTGTTTTGACCAACAAAAAGTAAAAACAGATCAAGTGGTTATTAGAAAACTACATACCAATAAAATACCCAAATCATATCAAGTTTACATTCCATTTAACAGAACATTTGAGTTCTTGTAGGTAAAAATAAGAGAATGCTACTGCTCTCCAAATAGTTTTCCTGTTGTTGTATGTTTTTTACCATCCAGGATACATTCTGATTTGTTCTAAGAATATTTCAATGAAAGAGGGGGTACCAAATTTGAATGAGAAACTACTATTCGGTTACTTCAGCACTTCAAGATCACCAGACACGTGCGGAACACAACGAAAGCTGGCTAGCCAGTGAAGAGTTATCCGTGATAAGGTGGCAAGAAACTCACAGCACATTAACAGGTGCCCTACGACTTGGCATTCTGAATTTTTAAAACAGTGTTATGTTTTAAGAAAGTCGCATCAAAGACAACTTAACACTTCTGTTCAGGTATTCCACCAGAACTACCTGGGTAAATACCCACACATATTATGGTTTAAACTGAGAAGTTGATCTAGTAACTTGCTTGCATGTTGTCAATGCTTCAGACAGCACAGGAAGCAGCTGATTTTTGCTATTCAAAAATCTGTAGCCTTAAGAACTCCATGACCTTAACTGGGACACTGTAGACTGAAGGCTACAATAGAAGTTTTAATTTTTTAAACCAGTGCACTTATAGTGACTTCTGAGATGCTCACATTTTCTTTTCCAACCAGTTTTCTGACTGTCTTTACTTTCACACTACTTAGAAGTTATTTACATGGTTTCCTTTTCCTCTAATATTCATGGTTCAGTTGTCATGAAGACATTTACACCTCTACTTTTGATTTTATTAAGTGAGAAGAAACACAGTGGATTAGGCAAATACCTAATACTTTGTTAGAATGCATGTAGACACTTTAAACATCATTTCTGAAGAAGAGAGTATTGAAAGAGTGAACATTACCTGAAAGACTCATGTCCTGGAGTGTCAATGATCAGCATTCCTGGAATTTTTATGTTCTCTCTGTCAAACTAACATTTCCAAATATTAGCCATCTTGGAAAGATTACACAATGGAAAAAAAAAACCCTTCAGAGCTCAGGGTTTTAGCGACAGCACTCACTTCAAAGATCCAGACACATATTTTAAGCAGGTCTAGCACCTTCTGTCAGTCAAATTAGGCAAAGCTCATTTCAATACAAAATACTAACGTGATGCAGCACAATTCACTGGATTTCAGGTTGCCATATGCTTAACTAAGAGTATCTGTAAGATGAGGGAGCCCATCGAGAGGAAAAACAAACAAACAAAAAAACCCACACATCCACATACACAGTTCAGTGCAGTGAGAGTTATCATACTTGTCTTGAACATTTACTCCCCTCAAATGATCTTGCAGTTTTAAGTAATTGAATAAAATCTTAAGAAATGCACTACAGAACTGAGAGGCAGCTTCTCTGTACAGGTTTTAAGATGGCTGTTGCTGCAACCTCCTCATTACACTCAGTAACAGCCAATGTTCTGGGCAAACCTCCCTCATTAAACATTTCCTCTGCAGTTGACTGACTAGTTTTGTAATTACAAAATTCTTAAGTTATGAGTAATATTCCTGTCCCTTGAAAACAACCAGCACTGCTAAGGTTTTTGGACACTTATTGCAAGCAGATAGAGTATCTAAAAGAAGCAACACAAAATAGTTATTTCTGTATCACAATAAAATTCAAATAGACTCAATTTCAGTTCCCCCAGCTAAAGTTAAGATGATAAACTAAAGTACTGAGAAATAAGCAGTCCATTAGTATACTGTCCAAAACGGGGTAAAGAGCAGGTGTGTGTTTTTGCTGAAGAAACAGCAATGCATCAATTGAAACCAGCATCAGCTACATATATTAAAATAAAAAAGATGAACCTCCTCTTTAGGCAGGAGTGAGAAAAGAGATAAGAGTTAAATAAATAAATAAAGCACCCATCCACAAATTAACTCCAATATTGGAGATAAGGCGGGGGAAGGCATCTACCATTGCCAGCACAAATCTTACAAGGCCTAAGTATCAATTAAATATATTTTTAAAAAGCAGTATTTAAAGTGCTATAAAACTTACATTTTTCACCATCTTTGTTTGCTCATTAATAGCTTCAAGGGGAACGTTAGTTGCCCCGATCTGCTGTGTGATACCACCAGCCTCACTGTCCTGGACATGGGTATGTCGAAGCTAGAAACAGAGAGAGCATAAAGAGCTGAATTCAAAGATAACAAAAATACTTGCACACAAGAGGCTATTTATAGTCATACCAGATGACACTATTTTCAGTAAAAACTGCATAAGCATGGACAAAAACATATCTGCATCTTACCTTATCTAAAATTTTCGTCTTGCCTGTGTCGACATGCCCCAGGACACAGATAACTGGTGCTCTGAGCTTCTCAGTGTTCATATTCTTGCTGTTTTCAGCTCGACGCTTCTACAGAAATAAATTTTAATATTGAAAGTAAAGCTCTTGACCTCTCAAGCCGATTACACATGCAAAACAGAGTCAATTTGGGGACTTCAGTTTTCAAGGTGAATCAAGCAAAGGTAATTGACAAAAAAAAAAAAAAAAAAACAGGCAAGAAAAACCTAAATACAGTTCATTAGTAGGCTAAGTTATTACATACACTAACATGTACTTTTAACGGTGCATTTTGAACAGCATCTTAGTACAGAAAAGAGAAAGTTTACAACCACAAAAAGGAATTATGTATTTTTAAAACTAAAATATCTATAAAGGGTTAAAGGGTACTTTTTTTGGCAGAAGCAACACTTAAATATTCTATCTGCAATGAAGGCCTCTAAAGCAAGATACTTTGGATTCAGAGAGGGGAGAAAAAAGGGCAGGGCAGTACATAAGATAAGACCATTTTATGGACCTGTCTAAATACTAGTCATGACACGGCTACCATTTTGACAGATTTAATGAGACTTTCTCTGACCAGTGAAGGTTGAAATATATTATTTTATATATATATATATATAATATAATGTAATATATATAATATATTATACAGTGCAAGAGTATTGGCCCCATAAAGCCGACTCCTAGTACCTCAATTCTCCGTTTGGCTTTATCGTAGGCACGCTCCTCCTTAGTGCGGTCATCGTCAGAGTCGTACTCGGAATCGGAGCTAATCTCTTTGCTAGGCTTCTTCTCCATAGACTGTTTTCCAATAGCTTGGGAATCTGCCTCTCTCTCATCTGAGGTCTTTTCATCCTCATCGTCGCTCCCTTCACTTTCTCCTTCTTCGGATTCTTCACTCTCCTCTTCTTCCTCCTCCTCATCTTCTTCCTCCTCATCCTCCTCCTCATCCAGTTCATTTTGTTCTTTGACTTCTATGTGGACAGGTTTGCTTTCTAGGAAAGAAAATAAATAAAACCTGAAGTAATTTTTTTAATTGTATTCAGATTTGTCAGGAGGGGGCAACAAAACAACAAAAAAAGGCTATTATATAAGATTGAGAAATGTGATCAGGTTCCCGTATTTTTCAGATTTCTATATCAAGTGTTTCATGGTTAGACCTGCCAACTTAAGTGTTTAAAATCTGTGCAGGCAGAGCAAGACTGGGAGAGGAAAGGAACAGGGATAGGATCGGCCATTTTCAAATAATCAGAAAAGTAAAAAGGTGTCCTTTAAAATCCCGTGCACTTTATAATGGAATGAATTCACTAACACACTTTAGCATAGAAATAACACTACAAAGTCACAATATGCATTCAGTGAATTGCGGATCATGAAAGCACATTTAAAGATAAAAAGAATCCAAATTTCTGATTCTTACAGTTACTCCTGTATCTTTAAAAGCCTTATCTTTAGGTTTTTTTAACAGGTTAGAAAAGACTTATATCTTCCAGAATAATTATTCAGTAAACAAAAATAATTAAAAGTAGTATTTTTTGCAAGTACATTTACGCTAAACATAACCTGAGGAGTTGCCAGGACGCATGCTGCTCTTAGTTATCTTCCCCTGCTACACTGGAAGTCTATCAGCTTAGCAATACACTAAGTCTAAACCCCAAGGAGGTTCTTTTCTGCAGTGCATTGGCTGCTCATTCACATCTGATCAGTCTGTGGGATGTGACACTGGTAGCAACAGACTAAAATGGATTTTCAGGAACATGAGCAGTCCTTACTAGCCAAGGTAGAACAAGCCAGCACTGCAGGAATACCCTCCTCTGCAGGACATATACATATACAGA